AAGAGGATTCTCTGAATGGAATAAGAATTTCTAATATTATTTGCGAATATTGGTAAACAATCCTGGTTAGCAAAATTGGGGTACCGATAAGACGTTTACTTGGCAGAGGTTAGGAATTATTAATTGCCAATTAAGAAGTAATAAATTTCTCAAGTTAGAAGAGTATTCTCCGAGTGGAATAAAAATTTCTAATCATTTCCGAATATTGGTAAACAATCCTGGTTAGCAAAATTGGGGTACCGATAAGACCTTAACTTGGCAGAGGTTAGGAATTATTAATTGCCAATTAAGAAGTAATAAATTTCTCAAGTTAGAAGAGGATTCTCCGAGTGGAATAAAAATTTCTAATCATTTGCGAATATTGGTAAACTATCCTGGTTAGCAAAATTGGGGTACCTATAAGACCTTAACTTGGCAGAGGTTAGGAATTATTAATTGCCAATTACCGAGAAATAAATTCCCCAAGTTAGAAAGAGATTCTCCGTGTGGAATAAGAATTTCTCGAAAAGATTGTACAATTCTGCAAGTTTCCACATTGATTTCCCGGAACCGCGTACCCAATGTCGTTCCCTCGTATGACGAGCGTGTAGCGCAGACGCGCGTACAAGTCTATGAGCAGACGGTGACCCTCCAGCGACCCGACGACCTCGAAGCTCGCGTGGTACGTCTGTCTTGTCGTCGATAATGCTGCACCGTAAGCGCATAATTGCCTCTTTTGCGCGTACGAACGCAAACGGTACGCAGGTTGCGTGGCGACGCGGCAAAAACGGCGCGGTCGTGTAACGTTACGTGGAATAATTTGCTCGTCCGTGTACGGGGAAACAGAAATTCATGAATTCGTGGAAACCGGCTTGAGAATTACCGCATAGAAGGTGATTAAACTGTGCCACGGCGCCGATTTCTTCTCTGCACGACTCCTCTCGGCGATTTGCTTCTGGTCCGCCGATCAACCCAACCCAAGTTTCGCCCGAGTATTGTTCCACCTATTCGAGGTTCGGCTAAATCTCTTCTAGCCTGAGAAGGTTAAAACCGAGATTCGTGGATGCCGTGTAAGTTGTCGCTCGGTCGCTGTTTAAATTATTGGTCATCGCGCGAATTCCTAACAGGAATCGACGATGCACGGCGATGCAATTATTAGTTACGTTCTAACGGATCGCCTCGACTAGTCCTTGATTTCAGACGTCGGGACTTTACGGCAACGACGTTTTATAAATTATCGAAATGGAAAAGAGGAAATTGAAACGTCCTGAAGTCTGGCTGCGAATCGTCCCAGGCTTTCCTGAATACCAGATACCGAGGTGTCGATTTATTCTCCCTTAAAACCGGGAATTTTCACGCGAATATCCATATCTCACCATTCTTGAGTTAAAATTTCTATGCCAACCGATATTGAATATCGTATGCAGCGGTGCATTGAAAATTCGACGACGATCGTGACCGCATCTGGGTAAACTTGAAGATACATCTTTTGGGAAATTCCGAGTGTCATCGGTCTATGGTATAAAGTAATAAAATTTACTCGAATGCTCGAAAGTAATAAATTTACATGGTGGAATGAGACGAAGATGTAATTATTTTCTTGTACGTTCTAAACGTTTAAAAAATACACTGGAATATGTTGACAAGAGTGGCATTTAATTTTGTTGGTAAAAAGAGACGTTTCCAGTGATATAGAAATTAAAGGATAATTGTTTAATCGGAAAATAGTCCTATTTCAATATTTATTTCTTCTCCAAAGATACTGGCTTTGATAAAAATACGTTTGATCGGTACTGGAATTAATAAATAAATGTTTGATCTAGAAATGATTCTATTTCAATATTTATCTCCGAGCACGCGATGTAAGACATCGGAATTGGACTTGGAACAGCGATATCCTGCAGATTACAGTAAACACAAGTATACGTCTGCCTCGCGAATCTTTAACAAATGTTACGCTACTTATTTCCTCGCTTCCCAGCTTGTAACGCCAGTTCTGTAATATCCTATATTTCCGCAGGGAATAACTCCACAGAAATTACCATTTAGCAATTTTTGCCAGCTATAAAATTTCTTCTCGTCCCTTTTTCCCCGACAAATATCTCAATCGTACGCTTTACAGCCCAATTAGCGAATAAACTAGAATTTATTCCTATCGTGACACGTTTTTCCACGTAACGAAGGACTGGACGATGTAAAACAAAAATAACTTTTAAAATACCCGCTCTTTTAATTTCTCTTTTAATCCCTCGTGTGAGAAATACGAGTCTCTTCGCACGGATAGTGGGAAGTTTTCAGTATTCCAATGGCTACCCTGCGTACAGATACACGGCGTATCGCGGTATTTAAAATTTCGAACGCACACGATCGATGCTAACGAGCATTACCCGAGACAGATAAGAGCTAAGCTTAAGCGAACGGAACCAGTTCGTTGTAAGAACTAGCAAAGATAGCGAGCAATTTCCAGCTCGCTGCTCCGAAAGATCGCAGGAGGAGGAAAAATTCGGCGAGGATTAACGCGTGAACGCCGAAAGAGTCGCGACGACGTGTTCACTCGAGGCGCACCCCTCGGTGCACCCCACGGTGCACCCAAGGCGCATCCGTAGAATATTCAAAAGCCGGGCACGGAGTTGGTACACACGCGAGCTCACGTACCCCGGGCGGACTCGCGATCTCTCCATGAATCTCTCGGATCCTACATCAGGGATTAGCATCGCATTACCGGCGCGGTGGCATTAAGAGAGCGAGGCGCGGAACGAATGCGCGTCTCGACGCAACGACTCCGGGCAGGATCCATTTCACGTAAGCCGAATTCATGAGGCCGTGCCGGCGTCGCCTCCGGTTATGAGTCGCGGAGCTTCCCGGCGCGGAAAGGGCAACGGAACGCGTCCTCTCCGGGTTCACCCGGTCGTTTTTCCTATCGTCGGCTCTTCAGGCACAAGTGTGCCGAGGGCGACGACGCGTCGCGTCCCGCCATCTTTTTCTATTCCGCGCTGCTTCTGAAAGAGAGCCGGGAGAGGGTTAGACGAGCGAGATCAGGTATCAAGTGTAAAAAAAGAGCCATTGTACGGGAGCATCTGACCGTAGGGTAGGTACCACAGTGGCGATGTCGAGCGGGCAGAGCGAGAGCGAACGAGACGCTTGGTAATAAGCGAGAGAAAGAGGAAAGGAGGCCAGAGACCGGTGAACCTGGCGGAGGTTGCCACGACACGGCGGCAAGGACGAGAGCAGGGAAGGAAGAAAAGGGAAGAAAAGGGAAGACGGGAAAAAAGAACGCGCGAGTAAAGAGAGACGGGACGAAAGGGGTGGAGAGAGCGGGAGAGGGAAGGAAGCTCTCGTATGCACCGAGAGCGTTGGCAGTTTATAAGGGTCCCCGGTATTGTGGATACGTATTATCATGCTAAATATAACATGTTAACTACTTCGCATAATGTCGGCGCGCGATCCTCTCGATTCTTCCCGGTACGACCGTTCGGCGAATCGCGCGTTTCCGCGCGCAGAAAATTTTATTGCCGTCGTTGGGCAGATGCGACGCGATCCTCACTGCTCGTCGCCCGTCGCGGAAGGCTCCACGTTCCCAGACCTAACCGCCTTCTGGAAACGAAAACCGCGTGGAACCTTGGTATAACCGGGAAGAACGTAACCTACGATTCGTTATTTATGAACGGTAGCTTTCTTATGTAAAAATTCCGATGTCGAAGATATATGATAATTATACGATCTGGGCGCGCTCGCGCGAGCTCGACGTGGAATATTCCGTGGATCACGTGGAACGCGTTGGCCGGCATAGCCGCGCCACTCTGGATAGAGGGCAGCACCGTTCCCGAATTGTTGTCCTTAGAACAACGAAACTGGGCCTAGGCGACCAACGGTGGTTGCGAATTGTGGGACGGATCTCGAAATCGGATAACGAAGAACAGAGGGGAACGTCGTGGTCGGCTTATCGTTTATATTTAGTAATGATTGGAGACCATTGATATTTACACACCGTCCGCTTTTTACCGAGAAAAGCCACTCTTGCGAAACGGCTACGCCATAGCCGTTATTGATGAGACACATTACGCATTTATTCGCCGTGACGGACCTTGAAAATCTATGAATTAATTATACACCTTATGTACGCACGAGCGTTACGCGGTGCCCGATGATATCGTCATTGAGACCCGAGCGCGATGACAAATGTACAGGCCGGACGTCTCGTTGTCGATCCTCGCGCTAGCTGCCTCCGTCGTAAAACACCGTGCCGTACGATAAATCGATCTGCTCGTTAGCTAATACCGCATTAACGTTATTACAACTTCCCACGGGCGAATCGGTGGACATCGAAACGATGGCCGGCCGGAGCGGCGCGGAGCGGCGCGGAGCGGGAGAAAAAGAGAGGAGGAAAGGATCGGCCGGCCCCGGCGGAAAACCTGTCATTATCGTATCGGTTAAACGTTAAAATCTATCCTTTCGAGCAGGAAAAAGACGACCAGCGATTAAACCTATCGACGCGGACGTTTAATGAAACCGTCGTCGTTTGCATCGCAACAAAGTTACACGCGGTCGAGTATTACCGGCAACGGAAGTGTACGATGCTCCGGCCCAGTCGCGATTACATTTTTTTCCACCAACATCTGCATAACGAGTCCCCGGGATCGTTGCTCGAAATTCTTCGGGAAACTCGACTCGGTGGAGGTAATTAACCGTGGATATTCAGGAACACGATGGATCGCGTACGCTTCTGCAAATTGGAAAACACGCCCTTGCCTCTTCGCTATCGATCATCGACTCGCGTTGCTTCCCAGCGTACTCGGTGCATCCGTTAAAGCGATCCGTTAGCCTAGAATCTGTCAAGGAACTCCGCGGGAAGCGCGAAAGCTGGAAAGAATGGAGCTGCGCATGCGCGTACGCGTTCGATCGGCGACCCGATTCGACACGCGCACTTAGCGCACAACCGATCGATCGCGAATCGGTAAAGTCCCGGTAAGGGCACAAAAGGGAGCCGCAGTTAAAGGTCGATTCTCCACGGACTGTTGAAGGGGTGTGATGGGCCAGAAGCTGCTGGTGCAGGAGGCGCCTGGCTCCGGTTCCGGTTCGACGAATCGCATGGAAGGCGGCGAAGGCGCCGGAGGAGGGGAGCTACACCACTTCCTCCATCAGTACAACCAGCAGTCCCACAGTCCCGGCCAGAGCCTGCAGGGTGGCCTTCAGCTTCCGCTTAGCCCGCCGTCCCTCAGACACGACGGTTCCTCGAGCACCGGCATCGCCGGAGTTAAAAGGGAACCCGAGGATTTGAGCTCGTCGAGAGGGGCGCAGCAGTCCAGCAAGAGGCACAAACAGGCGCAGCCCGACAGTCCCACGCCACCGGGGATGTACCATCATCATCAACATCAACTACAGGTGAGAACGCTTTGGATATTCCTTTATTATACTTCCTTCTCCGTTCTTCTCTACAGTGGACAGACGTATAACTCGAATTTTTCTAACGTCTTTGATATAAAAGTACCTTCTTGGATTTGCTTCGTTGATTAAGATTGCGCAACGAGGTTGTGCGCATGGGTGACAGCTTTTTGGAGTGTATGACGTACATATGTTATTGTTATACGAAAGTCTACTGTATTCGGACGATACAAGACCGTGAATAAATCGAAACTACTGGTTTGAGGATAATTTCGCTATTATTAAAATTATTATGCCACTATTATTTTCAACAAAAGTTAAAAAACAAGGTGCAACGATATTTTACCTGCATGTATCAAAATAAGCGTACCTATATGCTACATTTAGGTACACGTCACGGATGAATAGGATTGGTTTAGCGTTGTACACGTGGAGTATCTAAGAGATATGGAATTCTGAAAGTGATCGTTAAGAGTTCGAGAAAAATTTCGACCCGATTAGTCGAACGCAGGTGTAACGATTTGAAACTTTTCGAGGCATTTGCCAAGCATACCTCACGAGCTATACGACATCTCTTGAGTAATATCGGCGTGTAAAATGGTAACGTCGAGAAATGTCTGATAGCGTCCAGCGATCGGCGAAAGCGTTGGAATCTTCTATCTTACCTGCATCGGAGGAGCCTTTTTCAATTACACGAGTCTAGCTATGAAACGAGTGTAAATCCCATAGAAGCCTGACAGAGATTATCGACGAGCAGCTGGTAAACGCGTGCTAGTAACTTTCAGGATTCCAGTCCAATCTGAGAAAACATGCTCGACACTACCTGTCCCGATAAACGTACGTGACACTATCCAGCCTGGACTCCATCAAATCCGACTGCTGCACTATTACGATTAAAATACTCGAGTCGAGCGAAACCCATAAAGAAAAAACCTGACATTACCCACCCTGATCTAGATATGAGCACGAGACACTGGCTGCGCTGATTCCGATACAAATAAGCGTCATTAACCCGACTCGATTATGACAAACATACTTGACACTATCTCATTCGATCTTGATAAAAAGCCGGGAGTATTAGACCGCTCGACCTCGAGACAAATACTTCGCGTTGTGTCGTAGTTCATAAAATCCTACAGCATTAGCAAACTCTAAATGTTTCCAATTATTACTAGCAAATCGTCTCAATTACCATTGCACTCTGTCAGAGGCCAGTACCGAAACATCGATAATTTTATTCGGTTTCCATCTTTGGGGATGAAAAGCTGAGGGATGTCAAAAATTCTTTCCTTTTCGACACGGAAAATTTTGCAAATTGGAATGACGCTAGTTGACGTTGCAATGACGCTAGTTAAGAAAATTCGTAGAGTGCAATGACGATATTAACCCCTTGACTGTCACGCCAAAATCACATGTTTCGCTCAGAACGTCACATATAATGACAAAATAATAATAAGTTGGTGATACAAGACAACATTCCTACCAAATGGGACGTTTATCTTATTAGCGGTCACGGGTGACCACCAGTAGCGCCTTGATAACGATTGACAATCAACTAACTGTCAATATTCCATCAATTTTTACAATTGTGACTAGTTCAAGCGCTCCGATCACCAATGACCACTGTCCCCGTCACAGAAGAAGCCGTTACCGATCATATATGACCAAGTAGCTGTCAAAGTGTCAAAGGTATCTTTGACAGAGCCCAGGAAAAGATTGCGCACAGCCCCAAAGGGGGTACTTTATGTCCGAGCTAGTTCCCGATACTAATTAATGGCGATCACTTGGAATTACAGGTACAACAGTACGGCAGTCACTACGACCCCTACAGCTCGTGCAGCCCGCGGCTTCCGTCCACGGCGTACACGTCGACCTCGGCGACGGGCGCGGCGAACGCTGGGAACCCGAGCGGACTGCACCAGGAGCCGACGGCGGTCTACGTCACCGGCGACGCTCTGCCACCATTGGCCTCCTCGAGCTCGTCCTCGTTGTCCACCACGACCGCTTCGTACACGAGGTACGAGGTTGTGCCAAGCTCTTACGCGACGACACACGCGATACGCTCGTCCTCGAGCAGCAGCAAAGTCCTGACCGTTGATCTTCCCAGCCCCGACTCCGGCATCGGCGCGGACGCGGTCACGCCCAGGCAAGATCATCACCCGCCCACGGCGCTGCACCAGGTTAGTCGAAATTAGACGATTATTCCACGTTCCGTTTACAGGCTGCCAAGGTACGACATTCAGTTTTCATTTCGCTCTTTAAACTCGCTCGCGAGCAATTTGCGTCTCATGTCTCTTCTTCGGGTAATTTTCTAATAATAATCTCGTCTCTATCGCGATATATATATCGATTACTGGTAGTACAGTAGATCTATAAATCTTCCCACGTAGAATATAATTAATTTAAAATGGCGGAGTTTCTATTTGACGTAATTTCTTTTCGAAGTGACTAGAGAAATTTAGACGATATTTTGCTGTTAAAAATTCAATTATTGCTCACTTATAGAGATTCTCAAATTTTTTGAGAGGAAGATTTACGTTTACATAGGACTGTCGGACAGCTAATGATCTAATCAGGCTCGCGAGATGAAGAACAAGCGTTGAAATTCGATCTTGCATCACCGGATCAATCTCGAATGGATACCGATCTCAACGTCGGATCTCGCGGAACGTTATCGCGATCTCCGCTGAAAATCTGATATATCGAACGATTAATTTCGCCACAGAGGAAGGCCTATCTTCTCCGCGTTCGATTGCTAATTCTGTCTGGAGAATAGGCGAAATGAGTTCGCGAGGACGATGGTGTACTGGAGTAAGAGGGAATACGGTACCGATTCGCTGATCGAGCCATCTGGGATCCATCGGCGAAATGCACTTTCGTCGGATAGGTCGATCACTTTCCATCGACCAGGTTCTGTAAAGATGCTTCGATCGACAACGAATTAATCGGACAACAGCCGGTGTTAGGCGTTTATCGCGTTCTCATCGCGCGAATATAAGCTCTTCCACGTACGATCATTTTCTGCGCGCTCTCTGGAACAAGACTCGCACGGCTTGGTAACGACACCGAGCCGATTTGCATAATCCGCGACGCATATCTATCAGGGATATCGACGCGTTTGTTTGTAATCGACGGTTAATAGGTGGCGCGTTTTCTTAATCGGCGCTGTCCCTGCGAAATCTTTTCCATCGGAAGTCGATGGATCGAAGTTTGGTCGAAGTTTAGTTCAAAGTTCGATTATCTTAATTTTACGTTTTGCGAAAAATTTGGCGTAATCGACATTTCAAAATGTCTAATGGGTGGCACGTTTTTCTCCATCGACGCTGTTTTCATGTGATCCTTTCGATCAGAAATCGATACATCGAGGTTCGATCGAAATTCTATTATCGTGATTTTACGTTTTGCGAAAAATTTTGCGTAAGCGACGTTTCAAAATATAATGGGTGGCGCGTTTTTCTCCACCGACGCTATTCCCGCGTGATCCATTGGATCAAAAGTCGATGGATCGAAATTTGCTCAAAGTCTAGTCGAAAGTGCGATTATGGTGATTTTACGTTTTGCGAAAAATTTTGCGTAAGCGACGTTTCAAAATATAATGGGTGGCGCGTTTTTCTTCATCCACGAAATTACCGCGTGATCCATTGGATGGAAAGTCGATGGATCAAAGTTTGCACAAAGCCTAGTCGAAAGTGCGATTATGGTGATTTTACGTTTTGCGAAAAATATTCGCTTCGAGTATTCGCAATCAGTGTTTAAAAATATCTAATGGTGGCGGGCTTTTCTCTACAAAGACTGTTCCTGCGTGATCCTTTTGATCGAAAATCGATAGATCGCGGTTCGATCGAAATTCTATTATCGCGATTTTACGTTTTGCGAAAAATATTCGCTTCGATTGTTCGTAATCGACGTTCAAAAATATATAATAATGGGTGGCGCGTTTTTCTCCACCGACGCTATTCCCGCGTGATCCATTGGATCAAAGGTCGATGGATCGAAATTTGCTCAAAGTCTAGTCGAAAGTGCGATTATGGTGATTTTACGTTTTGCGAAAAATATTCGCTTGGAGTATTCGTAATGGGCGTTTAAAAATGTCTAATGGGTGGCGCGTTTTTCTCCACCAAGGCCGTTCCCGCGTGATCCTATCGGCCAGAAATCGATGGATCGATGTTCGATCGAAGTCCAGTGCGAGGTGCAATTACCGTGGTTTAATGTTCCACGAGAAACATCCACCTCGATGGTGACAAGCGCGGAATGTTCGACGTGCGAAATTTTAATGCTAATCATCGGTGTTAATCGTGGATGGTTAATCGTGGGATTATTCGTGTTTACTCCGGGTACCAAGCTTAATAAGGATGATCCGGTATGAACGACGAATACCGAGTCCAGGGAATGCGTAATCGCGGTGTCGCGCTGATAACACGCAGCTATGGGAAGAAATAAAAATTGATCGCAAGCAATCTACCGTGATTGACATTGATATTACTCGAACGAGTAATACTACACGCCGAGTCATCTATCGTTGCATCTAAAACTTGGCTCTTTTCGTCGAACCCCTAGGAAAGAAAACAGGATCGCTTCAACTCGTTTGCAAGCACAACCATCTGATAACCGAGTAAGGTTAATGAGTCAATTAATGTTCATCTCGAACAACTTTCTTATCATCGCTACAAATCACAGCTTCGATTCCGGCGGTCGTAAAAGAAAATTTATTCCGCGCATACGAAATTCAAAATTGCGCGTAACTTCTGCCAGATGAAAAATACTTATACAGGGTGTCTGTCAAATCGTCGATGATAATTTCGCGGGTAAAAACGAGGAATAATTATGATCGAAGACGAGGGAGGTTCTTTCATTTTGAAACAAATTTGTCGGATACTTCTGTTTCTGCACGTGTTTAATTAATTATTAAAATGAACGTGATCGTGTTCAATTAATTATTGGATGATGTCATAGTTTTTCCTGTTATTGATATTATCTTACTTCCGCAATCTAGATTCGTATTAATATTTTTCCATCGTCTCTGATTTAAATTTCAATTCCCAATTTAAATGGTTTCATAATTAACCAAGATATTTTTCCAAGTAGGGATCATGTTTATGTATTCCTGATTTGCGTATGATCGACGTATAAATCTCGTATTTTCTACTGCAACGTCTTCTACATACGATTTAAAAAAACACCCTATGTACAGTCACTATTGGGATAAAAAGAAATTACGCATAAGTACTTCACATCCACCGAATTTTTTTTCACGAATCCAAAACAGTGGTACCCCAAAAATCAACCACTATTTGAAAGACATCCTATATATATACTCACTATTGGGATAAAAATAAGTTACGCATAAACCCTTCAAATCCACGGATTTTGTCTTCACGAAGGCAAACCAGTGGTACCCCAAAAATCGACCACTATTTGAAAGACACCCTGTATGTACAGTCACGACTGGAATAAGAAGAAATTACATATAAATGCTACAAATTCACAGATTTTTTTCTCACGAAGGCAAAACAGTGGTACCCAAAAAATCGACCACTCTTTGAAAGACACCCTATATGTACAGTCACGACTGGAATAAAAAGAAATTACGCATGAATGCTTCAAATTGACAGAATTTTTTCTCACGGAGGTAAAACTGCGATGCTATAATAATCGCGCACGATTTCTAAGACACCCCCATGTACAGTCACGACTGGGATGAAAAGGAATAACGCGTAAATGCTTGAAATCCGCGGAATCCGTTCTCGGGAAGGCGAATGAGCGATAGGACGCGGTTGAAAAATAGCGGGTTTGCCGAGGAGGATTGGCCGGTGCGGGAAAATGGCGCGGAAACAATGAATCGAGCCGCGTCGAATCGTCCGTATCATAGGCAAATTGCCTAGCCCCGGGGCGAGTTTCTCGCGGGTCTCGGCGCATAATTTTCGCGCCCGTCGAAGCCAGCCAGGGCCGTGGTCCGCGCGCTCCGTGCCATAAGCGATTCATCACTCCCACGTATTCTCGGTTGTCACGCGTAATCGGCCGCTTCCGGAAACATTAATCGTTGGACGGGGGCAACGGGCGGCTTATCCGCGCGAGTAAGTCATTAGCATTGCGGTTGACATTACGAATTAGAAAGCACACGCGTTCCGTTCTGCTCTGCTTGCACACGCCGGCTGAAAATAAAAGCGGATCGTTTCGTCCGGCTATCTCGCCGGGTTCGTAATTAAAATATTCATAATTCGTATCTCGTTACGCGGGTCCGATCGTGTAGCACGAAACGCACGCGAAATGATAGCCATTTCACGGGAAAAAACGCGAACCGCGGTTAATCATTTTGTATATTGTTAAGGATAGGATACTCTATATGGGCAGGTAATTTGCATACGTTGGGTCTCGGGGAACAGTGGAAATTATAAGGTGCGCTGTCGTTTCGTCGCGGTCATTTTTCACCTGAGCAGATTAAATTTCTGGCAGAAAAATGCGAATTACGGGTAACCTTCTTTTATGTTATTAACCGAGGCATCTCGTGTATTATATTATTAAGTTAGACAAGTCAACTGTCCTGTCGGTAATGTTATTACCCAACGTTCGTAAAAATAATCCTATCGATTAAGAACACGAATGTCACTGCGGGCATTTCATTCGACGAGAGGAATATTTTATTTTTAAACAAATGGAAAAATAGAAATTAAATAAGGCTTGCATCCGATATAAAATTTCCTCGTTGAAATATTTCGCGAAAATTATTCATATCGCGTTCTCTATTCGTACGAGGACATTGCACCTATTCGTTACTCTTAAATCTAGTAATCTGGAATTAAAAGGAATATTTTATACGGGTGCATCGGTACTATAACTTCGTTTTGAATATTAAAGGGTCGAATATTTCCCAGAAATGAAGCGGTAGAAATAAAATAAGGGTTGTTTTCCAATTTAATTTAATTTTTCTCCAATCTATATCACTTTTACCCCCCAGTGATACAGATGTATCACATGGATTATCGTTTTCTTGGTCTTTTAAGCCCCCTTCCTGTCAGTTTTTCCTTTCGATGACATGTCTTCCTCTGCGTTACGTTCCACCCCGAGAAGCATAATTTCGGATAAACTCGGCGAGGATCGATGACTTCCGCAATAGAGCCGAACGAGCCGGCTAGCAAAGCGGAGAGAACACGTTGCATTAGACACAGCACGCTGAGAGGCTTGTAATTACGGATTAAATCTCCGACGGTTTTCGCTTGCACGCCGCTTACGCTGCACGCGGCGTTCCAACGTGTCTACATGTGTACCGTGTAATATTCGCTACGGGCTGCGGAGATACCGAAGCGACGTCGTTCCGATAAAACGAAAGCTATCAGGAACCAAGACAGATATAGAATGCAGCGAACACGGAAACTTGACTCCATTTTAAAACCGAAATCGATTAAACCGCGAAAAATTTACGCGTCGAGCTGTTCCAATTTTTATACCATTTTTCTATTTCCACGATCAGGTTAAATTTCGTAATTGCATAATTTTTATCTCTTTCGTCACACCGTATAACATCTTATGTCATAATCCTGTCTTTCTCTTCCAAATTTTTACCATTTTTCTATTATCACAATTTCGCATGGAATGTCTCGAATTTATATCTCTTACGTGTCCTTGGTCACCTCTCTATTTTCTGCCAATTTTTTATCATCATAACACCGATATAGGAAATTGCAAATTTCGTAATTGCATAATTTTTATCTCTTTCGTCACACCGTATAACATCTTATGTCATAATCCTGTCTTTCTCTTCCAAATTTTTACCATTTTTCTATTATCACAATTTCGCATGGAATGTCTCGAATTTATATCTCTTACGTGTCCTTGGTCACCTCTCTATTTTCTGCCAATTTTTTATCATCATAACACCGATATAGGAAATTGCAAATTTCGTAATTGCATAATTTTTATCTCTTTCGTCACCTCGTGCATCGTCTTACGTCATGATCCTGTCTTTTTGCCTTAAATTTTTACCATTTTTCTATTTCCACGCTCGAATTTATATCTTTTACGTATCTTTGGTCATCTCTATATTTTTGTCATTTTTTTATCATCACGATACCGATAAAAAGAATTGCAAATTTTGTAATTGCATAATTTTTATCTCTTTAGTCGCACTGCATAACATCTTACGTCATGATCCTGTCTTTTTCTCCTGAATTTTTACCATTTTTCTATTTTCACAATCATGCATGGAATTTTATATTTTTCTATATTTTCTTGTCTCTCTGTACACCTCGTTATATCTGTTCTTTATTCACCCTGGTTTCACAATTTCGACTGAATTTGCAAACTCTACGAATCGCCTGGATCGCGCGTTCTCGCGAAATTTTCCAACTGCCGGGCTCGCTAGTTTTATTGGTATAATTTGGTTAGCGCAACGGTTAATGGAGTGGAACGAGCCAGCTCTGGTAAAGATACTCATTAAGAAAATGTATATCGAGATGGCGGTATAACACGACGTTCTTAAAACGGTCGAGTGAAAACAGACCGATTCCGTGTGACACGTTAATTCTTTGTAGTCGAAAGTTGTCGCTTTAATGCACCGATCTGAGGGAAAAAACCGATCCAAGGCGTCATAATTTTGAACCAGTTTCGATCTAGATCCGATATCAACCGTACGACTGAAAACACTCGCGGGATCGATAAAGAGCGGGGAAAAATGTGCAAAAATGATAGACTCACCGGACTCGCGGTAAGAGATCGTTATACCCAGAACCCATCGTTAAAAATATTTAATGGACTGTATATTTTCCAGCCTGTCGTGATCCCGTGTACCAAACGAGTAATTTTCCATCGGTCCCGAGACGATTCCCCGATTTCTCCACGCGATTTCGAGCCGATTTTACCTTTCGAGGGAACTCGGGACTTACGTAAACGGAAATCTTCTAAAACCGATCCAGATAAAACTCGGTGATGGAGCACGCGCGATGATAAAACTCGTTAAACTCGGCTACGTAAAGACGGAAAAAAAATCTACGTCGTTCGTGCGTCCGCCCGCGATCGAGCGATGCCTTGGCGAGGATGGCGCGTGATCGAGCGGAGATATCGCGTGGAAAAACGGTCGAAAACACGTGTAGGTACACGCGTGGCGCTGCTTGGCGCAGAAGAATACATTACTTCGACTGAACGAATGCGAAAGCAGGAGACGGAGGGAGAGGATCGGTGAAGCTATAAAACGATGGCGACTCGCGGTGCAATTAGACGAATCGATCGGTCGGTGGGATGGAAAAAATTGGATCGTCGAGCGATATTTAAGATAATCGATCGCGTCGGAGGCGTCCGCTTGCGCGAGCGACGTGGGTCGCCGGTTCGATCGGCGGCTTCGTTTTTCATCGCTTGCCCCGCAGCCTGATTCGTCCCGGCTCCGCTATAAATTCAATTAAACCGGGAACCATCGGAGCCGCACACGCTGCCGGCGTAATTAGTCGAGCGAACTCGAGGAACGAATGAAATAAGGAGGACCGACGGAAAAGCGGGGATGTTATTATTCGTAATTATGGACGGCGGTTAACCGCGTTACCGACTCGGCGGGACGAGGTCGCAGGAGGGGCAGAGGGTTGGCCTGGAAAAAGCGCGACAGACTCTAGATCTCGTTGCTCTACCCTGCTCTGCCGTGGCCCCTTGCACCGCTTCGGATGGATGGCTTCCGCGATGCCGTTCGTCAGGCCGAGTAACGAGCTGCGGTAACCGCGTTACGTCCCTACCCACGTTCCAGGAGAACCCTCGCATGAAGACGTACGAGGGAATAAACCGTTCCGTGGACCTCTTATTAACAAACCACCGGTGGGAGCGCGTGCGGCAGACTCAGCTCAATTTTACGAGACCGCAATGGCCTATTCTACCCTCCGAGTCCATCCTCCTGGGGGCCTCCGATAGCGGCCAGCCAGTAGCAAACGCGAAAACGCGAGTTGCAGGTTGCTATGGTTAGAATTTTTGATATCGGTGTTTGATACTGATAAATACCGTGTTCGGTATTTTGATACCTTTCTAACGTGGCTAGAAGATCGGGGACCCCCCATACAATAGGATTTCGCGCAACGGGGGATACTTTTGGAAGCCAACTACGAGAAAGAGAGCGACTGATCGAGGACTGATCGAAAGTGACGGGTTAATTCGGGTTGGAAGTAAGCTTGGTAGCTTGGTTAGTTAGTAAAGTTCACGGGGGACTGGCTGTTACCGAGACGCTGCTAGTTATGCAAGCACCGTTTGACCCTATCGGTTAAGGGTTAATAATCGAGGAAACGAGCGTGAATGCTTGTCAGCGTTTCGCGGCAGATTTCTGAGATGTAGAATTTCTATTTAGAGGCCGGCAATTATCGGATGCCGGCACCAAGGGAAGTCTATGATCAGCCTAGGCGAATCTGCCATCCGATAAATGCACGCATGGAAATTTCGCGGGGATTTTTGCTCGCTCGATTAACGCGTTGTTAATGAGAAATGTCGTTGTTTACGCAGTCCTCCTTCGACTACACGGAGTTATGTCCCGGCGGAACAGCTGCAGGAGCCGCTGTGGTCCTAGAGAGCGGCGCGGTGATACACCACCAGCCGTTGCAGCTGCAACTGCAGCAGAGCCACGCGCAAGCACAGGTGCAACGAGGGACCCTGGTGTCCTCGGCGGCCACCAATCCGAACCCTAACCCGAATCCTCCGAGGTCGCGACCTTGGCACGATTTCGGCAGGCAGAACGACGCGGACAAAATCCAGATACCAAAAATGTGAGTAACCTGCATCTTTTGTCACTAGCAATTCCCTAGGACGTATATCCAAGTCCGTCGAGTCGACAAACTGAATCTTAACAACTTCCCGTTTATGTCGCGTGGGTGGCACACGATCTTACGTATTATATTTCGCGATATTTATGACTCTACCAAAATCACGATATGGGGAAAAAATTTGTTTGCAAAAGTCGGTTCAAAATTCCACAATTATCATCTACTTAGTAACTATCTAGTATTATAAAAATAATCGTAAGATTGGATTGATAAATGCACTAAATGACAAATGACGATTGATCGACGCGATTGATCGAGCTAAAGGTCGGCCAATTATCCGGGTAATTACGTGTACGAATGAAAATCCAGAAACGCGAGTAAATGCTAGTAAATGAAGCAGAATTTTCTAAAACCTTGGATGATCCTCGCGATGAAGTGCCGGCTAGCCGCGCGGGTCTTAAAATCGTGGCGGCAAAAACTGGATGGAAAGGTCCTTGGCAGCAAGAACCGACGAGGCCGTTGTCTGGTAACCTACACAGAAGTTGCAAGAAGGCGCACCAGGTAGGCGTCGGTGCGGCGAACAGGAGCAGAGAGGCTCGCAGGCCGTTCACCCGGGCCAGCCTCGGTTATCGGCACGCACGCACCGCGCTGTCCCGGTTGTTCTCCACCCGGTGACCAGCGCGACGGAAAAAACGCGGGGAATACGAAACCGCGACGCGCGACGTCGCGCAAGATAAGGATAATAGGTCGACGGCGGCGGAAAGTTCGCTGGTTTCGCAGCGATAGGCCTCCGCCACTTGGGAAAAGCTTCCCTCGGATAAGGATAACCGTGCCTTTTATTTCGCCTCTCGCGGCACTATATTTAGAGTGGCTGGCCTAGGTTAATCGCGTCGTCTCTGGAGAAACTGGTAGCCGGGCGCGAGTTCGTCGCGTAATGGGATATTGGAAGTCAATTTCAGAAAATTGCTCGAAGACTTTTAATAGCGGAAATTCTACGGAGACGCGTGAATTTTTCTTTTCCTCTTATTTATTTGTTCCCTCCTTTTTTTTTTTTTCTTTTTTTTGCTGGTTTCGTCATATGGCAAGTGGAATTTTGAATCCATTCGCTGGCAGAAATATCTCCGCGTGACGGAAAAATTTGCTTAGCCAAAAATAGAAACGTTAACGTAAAAAATGTACATAGACGAGTTATAAGTGTCGCAAAATGGTGGACGCCGACGGGTTAAGGGTGAAGATAGTAATTGTGATAGGAGATACGCTTTTCCTAGCGATGCGTATGTTCGTGAATCACTATGAAAGGCTCGAAAATAATCAGATGCACCGTAGTTGCGTCACGACGCCTGACGTCATTGGTATGGAGTATTTGCGACGAAAACCGCAAATACTTGGCGGATGCGAAGAGCGACTTGAATATATGTCCTTAAGATTCGATGTCGTGTAACGTTTACCTGTTACGTCTTTGTTTACCCAGTAACGAGAGAGAAAAAAATAAGCAGTGATCTCACGCTGATTATGAACGGCGTTACTGTAATTGTATCTTAATATATGAAGATTAGAGGCTTTTTGCGATAAACAGGAGGCAAAACCGTTCATTTAATCGTACGTTGATAGCGATGAATCCTGATACTCTCTTTTTTTTTTTCTCGACTGGTAATAAATCAACGCGATATTAGAAGTGTCAATACGCGAAATGATTATCTCTATCGATAAAGGAGCGATGGTGTTTCTATAATAACGCGCGGTCTGAACGCAGATTCTCCGCCTATGGGTTCAAATACCACCTGGAGTCGCCAATTAGCACGTCGCAGCGTCGTGAAGACGACAGAATCACGTACATTAACAAGGGACAATTCTACGGGATCACGCTGGACTATGTGCCGGACCCGGACAAACCGACTCTAAAAGCTGGACAAACCGTTAAGGTAAAGTTAAACATTGCATTAAGAAAGCTAATAATTTGCTAACAGCCGCGATATTCATCGCGAATCTATCGTCGGTCTCGTAAGTTTAATCGAATAAGTCTTTTATCGGTGTTCGTCATCTCGGGATCTAATTCGAAAACTTGGATTTGATAGCCTATTGAAAAATTTTAAATCGGTCGTGTCTTAAGAGTGATGTAAACTTGATGGCCGGGGAAAAAAATGTAATCAGAGCAGGCTATAATTACGAGGTAACGCGATGTTTTCGCTTCGCGATAAATGATGATCGTGTCACAAACGCGGCGATGGTGGATGTCATAACGTGTAGATGGATTGCTTGTTCCGAAGGTAAAACGAAGAATTAAACGTAATGACGAGAAAAAATTGAAAGATAAAAGTTAAGAGCGTTCCACGTTGCTACTTAAAAAATAACGATACATTTCTAACGAGAAACGCGCGCCGTCTATCTCGTACTGTTTCCGAGTTAACTACCGCCCTCTAGCGTTCGCCGTAATGACAACGCGCAGAATATGGCGGCACAATGTGGCGCCAAAAATCGGACGGCTATAAAGTTTAACACACGTACGCGCGGTGCAACGAGTGTGTAATATCGTCACGCGAAACCCTGTGGTATTCCTCTTAAATCGCATTAGGACTGTGCATAACATTACGTGCTCGCTCTGCGACTCCTACGAGCGATAGAATTCGCACAGCTCGTCGAGGCGCTGGCATCGAAAGAAGAAGTCGGACGAGGTCGTTTGTTCTCGCGACTCTAATTGGCAGCATGGCGCACCGTTAGCAATTTCCATTCTGATAAAGCTGCCGATTCTTTTCTCTCCCCTTCCCCTGCCCCCCTCGCTAGGAGTTACGACTTCCTCGTTAATTGCTAATCGAGCGTCTAGCAGCGTAGCTACGAGTCCAACAGACTAGCTACGTATATACGTGTATACACGCGAATAGGCAGCAGCGAGTACAAATTCACCGCTTATCCGCTCGCTTCCTCTCTACTTTACTATATCTATCTTTATCCTTATTTTATATTTACCTCCGTCCTTATCCTTTTCTCCTGCTCCGCTCCGATCTGCTCCGACACCGTTGTTTTTCCTTCCTTCTATCTCCGTCTGTGTTTACCAGTGACTGGCCTGCCCTCTACTTTCCCCGCCTCGCACGACTCCCTGTTTTCTTTATAGCTTCTTGCTTCTGTGTGTTCACCTTGTGTATTACTCGTTACGCCTGTCAATATAGTCTCTGCTTTCCTCCATCGACATTCCTTCTCTCGCTTTCGCGAACCGATTCCCCTTACATCGAACACTTTCTCCGTCTTCCTCGGTCCGCACTAACCTCGGTCTACCGATAAACCCGTATTTTCTCGGCGCGCGCAATTCTTCGCCCATTCACCCGAATCACGAAAAATTCCTACCGACGTCGCTAGCGAACACGAGTGCGCACCGGTCTGCGCAGTGGAGCGTGCTTCTGTCGCTGCAACCGATGTCACGCTCACGTGAAGCCTGCGTTATCGTTGGCGGCTGAGCAACACTGATTTTTCATCCCCTACCTCCACGCACTATAGAACGGTTGCCTGAGTCTAAATTATTTGTCGGCAATCTGTACGTAGCTCACGGTAGGAACGTTAACCCACGAAAACGGCCCGGGGACACGTGTTGTAACTGGTTCGCGAAGGTTAGCGTTATCTGATCGCGTGGCTTAAACGGCGGGACAATAAGGAACTGGATAAACACGCGATAGAGGTCTCTATTTCGCTGCGCGGTCACGCACCCGCGGTGCTGTCCTCTATTGTGAATTCGATGGTAACATTTCCTAAATCTCCCTAAATATGGAGATCGGCAATGTTGAATTCTCTTTACCTTCTGTACCCCCTCTTTGCCCCCTCGCGTTCGTTGTCCATTTATATCGATATTAATACATGATTCGAATCGTATCGTCATAATGCTTTCGACAATAGCTTCTTAGCCAAGCTTCCACCGAAGTCGGTTATAATCGTAAAACGGTAAACGATTACTTTTATCATCACGCCCGAAAAAAGTGCTAACAATCTCACACGGCTATACGAGCTGTTCGCTGAATTGGTCGCTGTGCACCGGATAAATGCTTTCTGACTTATAGTTACCATGCAATCCTTAACACTTTATAAAACTTTTTCCACTCCTACCACGATCTCGCACTGCGAAACGTTATATCGCGTAATTACAGTGACGCGGCTCGTTACCAACCATCGACGGTCGCCATTTTAATCGAACGATGGGGTCGTTCGATTAATCGTTCGACAGCGGACGCGAGAAAAAAGCAGAGCCGTAGCGGTAAAATTGTCCCCCGTGTCTTTCTCAATTAATCAATATAATTGCACCTAGGCAATTCTGGACATTTTTCTCAACGGATCGCTATCGCTCGGCTAGACACGTTCCCAATGCAAAAACGTTGAAAACGCGGTTATCTAAGGGTACACAGCCGTTTATTGAGAATTAGCAGTGTCGAATGGTGCAATTTATGCTACTGGATTATACGGTGCAGCGTGATTTATACGCGTGTATGTGTGTTCGGTGGCTCGCTCGAGCGTGTCCTCGTGTCGCGCGAGCGATGCCTCGCTCACGCGAATTTCGCGTTTCGCGTGCCGCGCGACCGATGCGTCAGCAGATTCCTCGACGATGTTCCGTTACCGACCGAGCATTGTCTCGTCCCTCGACGGATCATTGTTGGCAAATGATACCAGGAGACGCGCCAGTTCGTCATTATGCGCGAAATCCGAAAAATTCCGCGACCAGCCACAACCGTTCATTGTGGCCTGTCGATGTTGGAATCTATAATCTTCGTTACATAATTACACGCTACCGTGTAATTTATGACCCATGCAATCGTGCGTACGCTCGGACCCACTTCTGCCTAGCGACGTACCAACAGAGGATTTAAACTCTCGACTTAATCACGATAATTGGCTTTCTCGCGTACTCTTATTGACTCTATGACAATTGTCCGATGTATATTTATTTTTCTTTTTCCTTCTTTCCACGTTCAACATGCATCAACTTTTTCCTCGAATGCAACGTACTTGAAGCTTTAAAAATACACCGAAGGATATAGAGGGTAGTCCTGCGTGGCTTCGCGAGTCGACCGCGAGCTGTAGGAAAGATTGAATAAATACGTATTTTTACTTTTCCTTTGAAATTGCAGCCACTTTTGCGCTCATACAGTTCCTCTATGTGCTTATCCCGGCACCAAACGTTCGTAACGATCACCTTCTGTCTTAATGCAAGTCCGCGCCGCACCTGATCATTATTACCACTAGTGCTCCGTGCCTATTTAGATCTCCAGATATCGGGTGTTAGTTGTAAACAGATCGGTGGTTTCGCTTCGTACGATCCGAGTTTGTCAAAAGGAATTGCGGAACGTAATGATAGCTCGAATTATACGCTAAATTCCCGATAAAAACATTGGAAATTGTCGGTGACAGAGAGGAGGGAAAAAGGAAAAGAGCGACGCGTAGCTTACGCGAACCTCTAAATTTGTCCTGAAAGTAGCAACAACGAAGGAAACAGGTATCGCAGGACCTAGCAAACGTAACGGCAAAAAAGTTGCTTAACCCGTTGCTGAAAAAAGATGGAAAAGACAGAGGTAAACGCGTCAGCGGAAGCCATTCATCTGCCCTTACAGTATCACGCTTAATAAAGTACTTACGGTGTCTTCTTGATGTTTTGTCGCGCAGAGCGTGGTAATGTTGATGTTCCGAGAAGAGAAGAGCCCAGAAGACGAGATTAAGGCGTGGCAGTTCTGGCACGGAAGGCAACATTCTGTCAAGCAACGTATTCTCGATGCTGGTAAGTAAAGCGTGCAGAATCACCGAGTTCTGCCGCCATTAAACCAACCTCACGAACAAATAGCCGGCACCGTACCGGCATTCCAATTACCTTCTAATCAGTTGGCGCATTCATCAAGCGAAAATGAATCCTACGCTATAAATACATTGTTATTTAATATACGTACATACGCATATATATATATTTGCATTTATGGTTAATATTTTTGCGCAAGCCGCTCGATAGTGGATCGTTGCGAGTTCGGTAAGATTAAATTACATCAACGTATCGTTGATCATGCTCGTGCACGTAGAATTGAAAGGCAAAAGAAAAGAACGCGCCCTTTCGAGGCATCGTAGAATGATTTGCAACTCTGACAACAATCTACACCATTACAGACACGAAGAACAGCGTGGGACTGGTGGGCTGCATAGAGGAAGTTGCACACAATGCGATCGCCGTTTATTGGAACCCACTCGAATCCTCGGCGAAGGTACGAGAGAGTCCTTCATCATTCATTAAAGAGATTCCATTTGCATTTAACAATCTATGGGAGACTTAAATGGAACTGTGCTTATTCATGCACCGCGAGAGTCGTACGATAAAGGCCTATCTATTCTATCCGTATGATTTTCACGTATCCTATATCGTTACAGATCAACGTAGCGGTGCAGTGTCTCAGCACTGATTTTTCCAGTCAAAAAGGCGTAAAAGGTTTGCCTCTGCACATCCAGGTGGACACGTACGAGGAACCGCCACCGCACACCCACACGTACACACCACCCTCGCATCGTGGCTATTGCCAGATCAAGGTGTTCTGCGATAAGGTATTTTTGCGCGTCTAGACACACTTCCGGGTCTCGTTACGTCGTTTAACCGATCGTTCCAACAAAATCGCGCCAGCCGACCGATCTCATGAATCATCCCGGTGTTATTTACGCACAGGGAGCTGAAAGGAAGACTCGCGACGAGGAGAGGAGAGCAGCGAAGAGAAAGATGACGGCCACCGGTAGGAAAAAGCTCGACGAGCTCTACCATTCTGTTACGGAACGTAGCGAATTTTACTCCATGGTCGATCTTCACAAACCTCCCGTCCTCTTCTCACCACCGGCGGAACACACCATAGACAAGGTACTTGCCGAGACTGCACTGATTGGATACTATCAGAAGAAACTGTTTACCTATAACTATTTCTCCTATTTTCATCTCTTTCCCCCGTTTTTATCTCTATCTCTATTTTTCATTTTTCTTTCGAGTTACGTAAATACGAGCGTGACGATGCTTCCCTCGACGAAGCGTCGACGGTTTATCGAGAGAATATCGTATCTAGCTTGCAAACACTTTTTCGTGTTCTCCAGAGCAACGTATCACTCCGACTTCTCGAACATTAACACCTTCACGGACACCCACACACAGTTCGACTCGCAACCGAGCTCACTAAGCGGCGAACGGGAAACCGTGAACGTGTTGGTAGTCCGAGAGCAAGGCGAGATCCCGTGTTTGCAGTTTGCTTTTGAACGCGAAAGAAAACCGACTAACCAGACACTTTAGCGAAACAGCCCCAAAATTGTCTGCGTATTATTCACCGCAATCCTCTGCTCTCGATATCGCCAAAACTCTCCACTAACCGCAACTCTTGCATCGCCGTAACAAAAACCGTAGCGATTTCCAGGAACGAGCAGTACCCGCTGAAAAAGCTAACGCGATCCCTGACAGCGAATACAAAGTTATCCGAGCTTGAGCTTCGAGATAGAGACAAAGTCCCGTAGCAAGCTTATTGACAGCGGATAGGAGACGAAGCTAGTCGCAGCCTAGCCTCGTCTGCTATCTAAAATTATTTCTAACGTTAATGGGTACGTGACACGGTACTTGGGAACTCGCCATGCACCGTGCTCGTTCGTAAAGAGATAGAGGAAAGAAAAATATATGTTTCTTGTTTCACGACAGTTCTCGACGATGGAGTTGTCGGGCTTCTACGGAGGTGGCGGCGGGGGCGGTGGCGATACAGACACATCGTCCCTGAGTAATGGCGAGGGCGGAGGATTGAAGGCAGGGGGCAGCAGCCCTTATCCGGCCTGCGGCAGACCCAGCTTGCCGGCCCTCAAGTTCCACAACCACTTTCCGCCCGACAATCTGACTAGCCTGCACGACAAGAAGGACTCCTTGCTGATGCAGGTACAGGAGCTGCAAGGCTCGGTGCTGCAGGGAGTGCAACAGGCTGGCCTGGCCGGGACCGTGGTCTCCGGAGTCGGGAATCGGCTGCATCTGCAGCAGCAGCCGCCGCATCTGCGCCAAGCCGACGCCGAGGAACGAGTGATGCTGTACGTCCGCCAGGAGTCCGAGGACGTGTACACGCCGCTGCACGTCACGCCGCCGACCGTTCAGGGACTGTTGAACGCTGTAAGAAATGTCAAGGATTTTTGTATCGAGCACACGTTACATTAGCCGAGTAGCACCGACACTTGTCAGACGAACACACGCGTAGACCACTCGTTGTCGTGTCAGCCGTTCCATGCAAAAGTCCCAGTCGATGAAACGCGAGAAGTTTAGCCACCGGGGGTTGCGTTTGATTAATCGCGCCATCGGGGACGTATTAAAAGGTCGTGGCGAATAGGTGATCTCCCATCGCGGAGATACATCCGTCGAGAATGTCGAATGAAAGTTGTTTCCACGAAGGTTTCTCTTTCGAGGAAATGCAGGTTTCCTCGAAAACGAAGCTTCGAACGGGGTCACCTTGATCTACTTCGTTCTCCACCGGCTGGTTGCTGCGCGACCTTCGGTGCGCGCGGTTCGACGGGATGGCCGAGGGGGTTGACAGCGGACGCGGTTACGGATCGGAGGATCGAACGGAAAGCTGCAGTCGTGGTCGTCGTGGATCAACGTGGAAGCTTCCCCGGTGGACACGCGGTCGGTTCGTAGAGGGCAGGAAAATGGAGATCACGCGAGGTCGCGTACTCGGTGAAATGACAGCTAGGACGTTGCATAAGTGAGCCACGTTAAGCCCGGGTGCGTTCGAGAGCGGCGATATCGCTCGATTCAACGTCTATCTCTATTTATACCGGCGACGAGTACGGGAACGTTTCGAAACCGGCAAGGTAACAAATCCACGGGTAGAAAGCGACACGCGAAACGTTTCGACGTTCGCGACGTAAACCGGCGATATCTTGACGTGGCCAATTTATCACATTTCCACGGGGCCGTGTTCGATTTGACGCCTGTGCCCCTGGTATGAGTAATGAGTGATGCGCGAGGGTAACGCGAGATATACAACACACCCGTATATATTATATTATATATATATATATGTACTTATATAGATATAAATATTAGCTATGCATGTGAGGGCATACTACACCATTTTATTAATACCTGTTGCACCGTTCCATTACGCTGATATTAATATTAACGCGCATGCATCACTCCTCCAAAATCCTCACAATAATTAATACGGATCGGAGCGCGATGAATCAGGCGCACGGATCATTAACCCCTGTGATCGCGAGAAACGATCGATGGTTTCGACGTTAGAGGTGCCGTTTTTTCCTTTTCTCTTTTTTTCGTATTTTTTTGTTTTTTTTTTTCTTTTTTTGTTTGTTTTTTTTCATTCACTCTTAACATTGGATATTATTGGCCAGCTGTACACGTATGCAAGGTCGCATTGTTGTAATAAAGATGAGAAATGGCAGAAGAAAAAAGTGGAAAGAAAACCGTGGTCTCTCTCTCTCTCTCTCTCTCCCTCTCTTACCGCGTCCTCCTTTCTCTTCGTAACTCTTGTATTCGTTTGTTTCTGCAGAAGCGATTCCCTTTCTCCATAAATAATCATCGTGCTAACCAATTTCCATTGGAATTGATTGTTCGATGAATCTCTCGATCTTACAGACAACGGGAAATCGCGTTGTTCTTCTCTGCAATCTCCCGTTTCTTCTTCGTCTCCACCCCTATTGTCCGTATCCTCCTTTCTCTTACCCTGCCATGTCAATTTCGTTCCCCTTCCCGATATCTGTCCGTCTGTCTGTTTTCAATGAGCGCCGCGTCACGTTGTAGTAAAGGATAAAAAAGAAAGAAAAATGATTGAAAAAAAAAAAAGAAAAAATAGAAAAACCTCCTCGGTTATCGAGCACGAGTACCCAGACCGATGGTCCGCAACCACTGTCAAAATTCTAATGTTCTACTTTTTTCTATTTTACAGATTGAGTCAAAGTACAAAATTGCATCCTCGAGTATTAATAACCTCTATCGCAAAAACACAAAGGGGTAAGTTTAGTAGAGTGTCATCTTTACTTGCATGCACCGCCCACACAGTAGTGCATGCCATAACGGTGACATTGCCTGACTCTCTCCGTTGCCTGGTTTGCTAGTCTATCCCTACTTCCGGAACCGACACACCACCCTGTATACCTCCGATACAATGCATTCGATAGTACTTCTCTGTCTTTCTCTGTATGTCTGCCTGTCTATTTCTCTAATCGCTTCTCTTTCTGGTTGGTACTGCTGATCTCTGGCCGCTGCTCTATTTTTCTCTTTTTTTTTTTTATTTCTCTCTCCTAATCTTAACGTTGTTCTCGTAGCATTCGTTCACCCCGCAGAATCCTTGTCGTCGGCCACACCGATTCAACATCGGAGCACACGTGTGCCTGCCCCGACTCTACCGGACTAATCCACTAATCTCTCCCGTGTGTCCTTTATTTTTCTTCTGTCACGACCGCTCACGCACGCCTGTCTGCTCGCTTCTCTACACGCCTCGACTCGCCTAGCGGACCAATGCATGCCTCTATACCTCTCAAACTCATCACGCACTTCGTTCGCCCGAGTAGCTACGCTTTTTGTGTGTGCTTCTCTCAATTCTTTTCTCTTCTCTATTTTATATTTTTCATTTTTTTTTTTTGTTTTTTTCTTTCATTTTGTGGGGGGTTACGTGTTCTTTTCTTTTTACACAGGACAAAGTCCTGCATACCGCTCACTCTGGTTCACTCTTCGGTAACTGTGGAACCCACTGCGTTGATGCACTCGACAGATCGGCAAACATCGATCGCCCTAGATACCCAGATACTCGGTATCCATCGATGATATGACACTCTTCCATCGAGATTCTAGTAACACGCGAGACCTGCCGAGTCTGTCGCGCCATGAACGCGGTCAAAGGTGCCCACTGACCGTACTCTGCTTAAAATGTCAGTCGTCACACGAAACGTAAACGAGTCCAGACAGAATGCGACAGAATTCGCTGTTGTTTCCTGCCCCTTAACACGAAACACGAATAGACCCAAGCCGTACGATCTCTCGTCGTATCGTCGTATCGATCTCCCGGTCTCGCTGCTCGATCCCTCGAGCCCCGTTCCTAATCGATTCGACGAGTTCGATCCCGTCGAACCTCGTGCCCCGATTTTAAGCAGGGTAAACCCCCGGGTCGCCTTGTCACTTCGCTTCCCGCTCTTTAATCGTCCTTCTCTCCTCCTGTTGCAGAATTACAGCGAAAATTGACGACGACATGATCCGATACTACGTGGACGAGGATCTGTTCCTCCTGGAGGTGACCCACTCTAGAGTAAACCCGGACCCGAGCAACGAGCGCAACCCGGCCAACCCTGGCTCACCGGGTGACCCAGGCGACCCCGGAGATCCACCTGCCACTGCTGGATACGACGTCACCCTGATCGAGCTACCCTCGTCCCCGGCTCACATAGCTCACTCGCCCCTCACGAATTCCGCGCACGGCCATGCGCACGTTCACGAGAGCGGCAACACGTGAACAACGACCGTGCCATTGCAAGCACAAGTAGAGGAAGAAAGCGATACGAAAGTGTAATGCTGTACGTGGCTTTCGTTCGTTCGTGTTAGCAGCCGTCGATGGTCACGAGGAATCGTCGACACGGTGCAATGCGAAGGGATACGGGATACAGTTCGACCCGGCGAGGAGGATTTTCAGGGACCTGCGTTGAAGAGGCGTCGTCTCCAATGAAAGAAGATGAGTAGAAAGAAGAGGACGAAGAAGAGGAAGACATCAGGATCCAGTGAACGAGGCGATCGATCAGGCCACCGAGGACTCGACTTTGAGGAATATATCGACAGAGTCCAGAAGACTAGGAGATCAGGGAAGAAACGCAACGTCTCGCGTGATCCATCCAGTGTTAGCTGCGTGTTAGTCGGACTGAGAAGGAAACTCGGAACTGTTCTTCGTACAATGTATAAGGAGTCGAAAGAAGAGGAAGAGAGAGAGAGAGAGAGAGAGAGAGAGAAACGATTGTTAGTTGATAGTGGTCGTCTTGTGCAACGTGTTGTATGATCGTGCCCGTTACTTTTATAACGATATACAGGTAGCTTCAACGGAGTAGAAAATTTCGTGGATACGGAGTGGTGTTTGATCGAATGTACTTGATCTCGAAGAGTTAGACGAAGCTTTATTTTACAGTACTGTTCTCCTCTCGTATCCTGCGAGCGTTTCGTAGAAATACTCGCGGGTACCGAGGCTCTTGGTCAGACGGTCCGTCGTTCGCGTGAAAACGTAAACCTCGTATGCACGAAATGTAGCGATCGAACAGCCTGTATACAATGCGAAGTCATCGATACGAAGCACAAGCACGCGAAGAAGTATATCTCTAGCCGTGCAAGGCAACTCGTTATTTTATATATATTTTTTTTTTTTTCTTGTTTGTTTTCACTTGTGAACAATTTATATCGATGGTTGTTAGCTTATAGAGTACCGTTGGCGTCGTAGTTGAAACGCGATGGCTACATTTGTAAATCAATCAAAATTGATTTAAGAACCTCCCGCCCCCACCCCCATCCCCCGTTAAATATTAAGTTATACATATATATATACGTATGACGTATAGATGTATATGGAAAATGCCACTCTATTTTATCGTATCGTCGGTTTTAGAGTTTAAATCCTTTGTTTATACGTTTAGAGAACCGATGGTCGGTGTTTCGACGTGCACGAAGCAAGCCTATTTTATACCAAGACTTATACGTAGAGATAAAATTATAACTCCGAACGTCGCCATTCCAAGATAGACGGGTGCCATCGAGCATTTTATCTCTTTATAGGTGTTACGCTCACACACGCGTTCAGCGATCTTAAGCTCTGCCTGATTTCTCGATCAGGATCCCAGGGCAGACCAATGTCATATCACGCTTGAAGACTATTCTTTCCGCGTATCCAACATTCCAGGTTAGCCGAAGAAGCGTTAAGCCTTCTCCTCTCCTTCTTGCATCGACTGTCCAGTTTTAATTTCTCTTTCCACTTATTTCTCTTGTTCTTTTATTTCCCCTTTTCCCCCCCGTATCACGCTGTTTATTTATACCGAGTTAATCGAGTATCCGAGTAGCCGTGTAACACGTCGATTAAGTATCCCTTTAGGCACTTCGCTATCGTTGCAGAAGAATCTCCTGAGCATCCCCCCAGGATCCTTTGATATTATACAAAGAGCAAGTATTACTCACTGAAATACGTAACTTTTTTTTCTCTTTTCTTTTCTTTTCCCTTTTTCTTTGTAACGTTTCATCGAGATCGGTTCCACGAGAGAGAGAGAGGAAAGAAAATGCACGTTTAGACGATTAGTAGTTACGTTAAATATCCAATGGAATCGCCACAGTAAACGTCATTGCAACCGAGATTGCAATATTTAGGATAGGCTAATACAGATAAACACGCTATATTGGTATCTGTAACGAGTTTCTTAAGCACACCCCCTCCTCGAGCGTTCGACAACCCTTTGAGAACAGTCGTCTTACAGAAGGGATCTTTCGGCAGGGATAATTCGTTTTACCGGTAAGAATTTTGGAAAAGAAGGAATATATCCAAGTAATCGTTTCGAAATGCATAGAAGGGGAATGAAAAATTCGGGAAATTCGGGAAATCGTTCATGCGCGTGGATCGTTCTCGAAGGGTTGGTCTATTTTGAACGCGCAAGCCCCGTGAGACCCATGTTTATCTTGATTATGGCAGGAAGAGAGCGTAAGCAAGGAGCATAATCAGTGACTCTGTGCAACGTCGTTATCGTAGATCCCCAAACGAGCGGCGAGGTGTAAAAATTGTCAACGGCCTGTGGTTGTATATCGTTGTTTGAAGGCGAAACAATAATTAACGTGCCACCGGTGAAAGCGAACCATTCCGTCGTCGCGCACCACGTTTTCGTGATTCTCATCGAAAATTACGCCCGTGCACACGTATACATACACGCACACACGCACACACGCGCATTACACGTATCATCAGCTGTTAAAAACGAAAGAAATCAGTGATTAGCTCGCATTTAGTTTGGACTAGAAAGCATCGCGATCACGACACATACCACCGCGTTGTCTCGACTTTTGTTCTTGCTTGAGAGGGCAAATGGTAACGAGAGAGGAATCATATACACACCCTATACATGTATCACGACACCGATATCAAAGCAAGGATCAAAATACGCTTGTAAAATGCATATTATTATATGAGTACTATATTTTGTTACATCTATTGCAAGACAGCATATAGTTTGATATTATTAATATTATTTGATTCTATTGACTAGAGCTACGTAATACGTATATTATTATAATTATTATAATAATAATTATTATTATTTTTATACAAGGGATGCGTGTGCTCATGGTGCGAGAATGAGAGGCAGAGCGAGAAGAGAGGCGGCAGAGAGAGAGGACGGAGAGAAAAAGGCAGAGCGAAAGTACGAGAATGAATGGGAGAGATCAGTATGCCTGAGAAATAGCTGAGGAAAAGAGGAAGAGGGCCGTTCTACACGGCCGGCGAATATCGTTAGTGTTGCTCCATGACATTTTTATTCGTAACCGATATCTTCCCCAGCCCAACCCATGCCCAGCCCCGCATCAACCCTTACAACATAAACCACCCCTTCCCAGCCCTTCGAATTCACACTTCCGTCATTTTGCAGATGGACCCCGCGAGGGGTCCCTCCTGTGTGCGTACGAACGGTTTCCACGATGAACGATTCTTATCGCAATCGTGTCATCCCTTATAATCCCTTTACGTTTATTAATATTATTAATTAATGGTATATCATGAAAAGCAGCTGCGTTACGATCAAGGGAAGACCTCAGTCGCGATGACAAACCGGTGAACGAGGGTGTACGAGGTGTACAAGGTGTATCGTGGAAGAGAGAGGATTGGTTTACAATCGACGTTTTTTTTTTTTATTCTTCTTTTCTTCCCTTCTCCTGTCCCCCCTCTCTCTCTCTCTCTCTCTCTCTCTCTTTCTGTATTTTCCGCGTTAACGTTACAAGCATTTGCAATTTGCATCGTTGACCAGGAAGCGAGGATGCGGTCTTCCCGTGATCGTTTCCCAGCCGTCTCGGTATCGTACTTAAACGACGTAAACGACGATGCGAAACGAGCCCACAGGCTTCGTCTTATTTGTTAGAAATGTACCCGTTTAAGAGGAGGAATGTCGAGATCGGCCGATTTCGGGCTGACCGCGCGCAGTGTACTGTTTTGTTAGAGGACCGTGAAAGCCGGACAAGTTGCGGAACAGATAATGATGCGAGAATACCGAAATATAATACCGTTTTCGCGTTGTCTTGCCATCGTGAGATTGTGCCAGAGGTGATATTATATTACGCTGTTTATTGCAAACAATAAATATTATATTAGTACGTTTTATAAATTGCGTGTTTTCATTGTTCCTTGAACAGGGGTGGTCCGGGGAAGAGAATTTTACGACGACCAAGAACCAATCTCGAGACCCTAATCTCAGGATTAGGTCCTTCCAGGCTCGTTCCATTTAGTCGTTTCTCGGCGTGTTTCGAGGAAGATGTTGTGGTCTCTTAAAAGTTATCCCGAGGTCGCCCGAAGCTTGTCATTAGGACGTTACAAGGTTACTAAAGGTTACTAACGATCTGGTGAATTTGGATTTTCCCTTAGGTCGAATTAAACAAATGGAAAATAGCGTACTCTCTGATAGATCTTTCGTTAATAGACGGTACAGTAGCCTCCAGCCTGTGATCCTTCATAGATCAGAGTTCAAACGTGGAATATATAGCGTGGTACAGTCTAATGCTAGAATATCACGACTCTGAAGCGAAAACCTGTTGGTCGGCAATAAAAAGGAGAAAGAAAAGGATTAGTTATAAATGATAGGTTATGAAGAAGAACAAACTAAGGTCGTCCTGTTTGGCGAAAGAGCAAAATGGTGGTCGTAAACTTAGAAGCCTGAGAGTGGCTGACTAACTTCCCAAGTAGTTTTCGGGCTTTTAGTGCTGGAATTTCAGACAGCTGGAAGTTATTTTTACATCGTTCGGTAACAAAAATGGAACTCTGCCAGTGTATCGCACGGCCATCTTTCTCGAGCCGACGCAATATCCGATAAAATCTCACGTGTCTCTCCGTCCGAAACGGTAATAAGTCAAACGTTCAAGCGCCGTATATAATACACGAAATTTGCATAAGCTTGAATACTGTCGATAAATTTTCGTACCTTCTGCCGAAACTCTAATACACGCGTCCGCGTCACCGACTCTCGTCATCGTGGGATATAGTACGTGTAGACACTGTGACGACCGTGAGGGAATACGTGACCTTGTAGTGGGACACTGGCCCTGACGTGAATTATCGGTTCTTTGTACATACACGACCTTTAACCATTTGTCCACTGAATTCTTGTACGGTCGATAACACGTCAACAAAGGATAATCCTTATATAACGACTATCCAAATTGCTCACGTGCCACCAGCGGAAAACATTTCCTTCTTCCCTAACGATACCACCGTATCTTTCGCAACCTCGATAAAACATCGATGAAACGTCGATGAAACGTCAAACGAAATTAACGAGAGCGTTGAAACTGTGAAAAATCGTCCGAAACTCGCCGCTTAATTTCGCTCACGGTGTCCCATACGATTTGTTTGCAAACATTTTCGCTGCGCCAGAATTCCTGCTACTCCCGGGGCCCGGTTGGCAATCAGAAAAAGAATGGCTTAATGCCGAGTCTTAATACTTTATGACTACCCGATAAAAAGCAGCCCTGACGCAACCGGTTTCCACGTTCCAGGAGTAGAGCCACCGTGATCCAACGGTGATCACAGCGAGATCTTGAACCAAATTTTATGTATGCGCCGGTAACTGTCGAACGAAGTTTACAGGCTTGTTTATCAGAAACGGATGTAACGATGTCTGGTCGTCGAACTTGGATCGTCTTCCTTCACGGTTATCTGAGCAATCTCGATAAGGACGAAGTTAAGCATCTTCGTACCGGAACTTGGTTACGTTAATCCGACAAGGATCGATGGGTCTTGTGAATATTCAAATTATATTTTGAAAGGAAAATGAACGCTTCTCACTGCGACAAGCTTGTCAGGTAATACCGTAAATCAGGGAAGAGACCGTGTAACGTTCCGCGAAGCAAAATCCCTGTACCCACGAACGAAGTTAGGCTTCCTTTTTCCTCTTCTTTCCTAAGCTACATCGTTCCTCTTCAGAGATGCTGACACATATTCCTGTACATTTAGAATTTTTTAAATTATAATTATTATAAGTGGAAAGAAAATTAGAATCGATTGGAGAACTATTTACCATAGAATCCCTGCAGAATAAGAAAAAGAAAATCCTCGTCGAATATCATCGTTAATAGAGATTTATTCCACTTTATAATCGCTATTTTGAAATCGATGTAGAGCGTTAATTTAAGAAAAATTCGTCCTTAAAAAGGGGTTCAGTGCGAATCGATAACGTCGGCCTAGATACTGTCAAACTTCTACTAGCAAGGAATTAATCGATAAACAATGAACTCAATATCGTTTCCGTGAAACAAATCAGTGATCCCAGATGGTCCTAATCCCCTTGACCACGCGAACAGCTCTTGGGTATTTCGAGAACAGTCCGGTTTGGCAGCTCCCTTTCCATATATAAAATCCCTTCCCATATATAAAATCCCTTCCCATTGCTAGACAGGACTTCTAGCGAACTGAGATTTCATTTCCCACCAAAGAATGGGAAAAGAGATGGAAAATTGACACGAAAACCGGACCTGAAGGATTTAAACCGATGAGAAGCCACGATATTTCAGCAAGCGTATATATATATACTTCGGAAATTTCTGCCAAAGTTATGGCACGGTTGCTAATAAGTTTCGCTCGCGTTATGAATAACCAAAAAATCGAATGACTCGCAAATCAGGCACCGGTGAACGATAATTCGCGTTGTTGACGCAAATTATTAATAACCCGCGTTCGAAGAAAGAACGAAGGAACAGCAGAAAAAGTAAAACTTCGCCTTGTTTTCTCTCCTCGCCTTTTTAAGGGGCAGTTCGATGAACCACGGAACGCGAAGTTTATATTCATCTCAAGGACTATCTTCTTTCCTTCTTTTTTCCCTCAAAGGCCGCCCTGTTACTGCATTTTCGTGGAAAAAAAGGGAAAAAGTAAAAGAAATCATTTACGAGCGACCAGGCCGATTTTTCAGCTTCATCGAGTATATTAATTCCATGTAATCGTTTTAATACGTAACAGACGTGGAATTACCATTTGCGACATATTTTTTCTACCTTCGACTTTCCAATTTCGCACGGGTGCCATTCTGATCAGAAGATTTCAGAAGAAGTCGTCATTAAGGCGTTCATTAATACCGCGTGACGTTACTTTCTCGTAATCGAACGAGATCCAGTGATTACTCTGGGCGAGACAGGAAACGATGACGAGCCCTAATTAAGAAATTTGCAAGATTTAATGAACCGCTTGCATTTTATTATTCCCCTTTTATCTGCATAAACACGTTCTTTGTATTCCAAATACGCTCTCGAATTTTGTGCAGTAAATTAAATCACTGATTCGAGATATGCTAATCCCAAATGTAAAACAGCACGACACTTCGTGGTCCATATCGAAGAAATTTTGCCCATAGGAGACCACTGACAATCGAACCTCTGTCTTCCGAAAGATATCCAGATAATTCATCCAAAATCCAATAAATAAATTTACGCATTCGGCTGCAGATGTGCACGTTCGTTGAAGACTGTACAAAAAAGAGAAGAGGAATAAGTTAAAGAAAAAAATGGAGAAAGAAATGAAAAGAAACGATGGATACAGGAGAGATTGAGTCGAAGAACAGAGGCAAGTATGTGACCGATATCAAGCAGGCGGTACACACCGGGTTTGAAGAAATTCCATTCATCGTGGTCAGAGGGAAATGCACGCGTACGTTGGCATTCGCGATGGTGCACGAGGAACACACGATTGGCAAGTTCACGGCCGTCCCTTACGTGCAGCCTTCTCCTCGGCCTCTTCAAGGCCAACACGAGGTTCGTACTCTCTATGCAAATGCCTATGAACTCGACATTCACGATCGACGCCGTGATTCGTCCGGCGACACAAATCAATGTTGAGCCGGTTCCGTCACACCACTTACATAATCAGCGAATTTCTATTGAAACCGTTTCGACCACCATCCAACGCGAAATTTTGTCGATCAAATTCTATTATATATTCCTGATTGATATCGGCTAACAGTACAGCTGCCCGTTATCGGGCGTAGAAGTTAGATACAATCGTCGAACCGTAATAACAGGTCGCATTACCAACGGAATATTCATTACAGGTAAAAAGGAAAAAAGAGAAGAACAAAAATTCGATATGACACGCTACAAAATGGGTCCCTCGTGGATGTTTGACAGTTGCTCCGGAGACATTAATCGATGGCTCGTCGAGTGACCAACGTTCTATCTGATCGACCCGACATGACGTGAAAAATAACGTGCTTTATACGCAAGATTCCATCGAATGTAAATAAATATTTACGCAAAGATCCACTACTGTCTCGGTAACTTCGTACCCCGAGTTCTCGCTGCTAATCCGGCAACCAGTTGCGTCGGTTTAAATTATTTCTCCGTTTCTCTTTCGACCTGGAAAATGAAGGAACGTATTAGAAGTGGCAGGGAATATAAACATAAATAATAACAGTGGGAAATGTGTCTTCGCGAAAGACAACGTATAATATACTTAATCCCCTAGGGAATTACACGTACCCTTAGCTGCAGCGCGAACCACGAGAATCCCCAGAGGAAGCAGCCAAAACGAGATCAGTGTCGCGTGATCAGGATGAAGGGAGCCAGTCTCTCGATCTGCCTGAAATTAGCATACCGTCAACACCGATTCTGGTATCGGAAGGTCCGCCCACCCTTTTTCTCGCGGTGGCTGCAGATGCCTGAAGATGGGCAGGCGCCCGCTAGAAGAAAACGAAAAGAACCAGCTGAGTCCCGTGGCTCGAATCGAGCCTACCGGGGGCAAAGAACAGCACTGGGCCCGAGAGGGGAGGACGAGCCCGTTATAAGCACGAGCACCGGCTATTCAGCAGCTTAGCAACTTAGTATCGGTCCCAGGATCCCTACCGGTAACACAGGGCCCCGAACACTCGTGTTTCTCCTCCTCGTTGCGCGTTCTTCTCTCGCTGGTGGTTTCCGTTTTCCTGGGGATGGACAGACGACGTCGAGCATCGTCGCTGACGACGTTGGTCCTTCTCGTCCTGCAAACCGCCGTAACGATCTTCGCCGTCTGCGGCACGATCCACGCCGATCCAGAGGGTAAGACGGCGATCTTCGAGTCGTCTGTCGAGGAGGTCCATCGGGGGGAGAACGATGACAACGCGGTGATCATTGACGGTGAGTGTCGATGGATTTTTTGAATCTGATTCGACGCATTTGTTATCGGTAATCGAACGAAGTGAACGGACAGGAATCTTAGAAGAGCGGCCAGGTTATTAATCTACCAGTACTGGCCAGACATATCTTTTTGCGGAGTTGATCGATGCTCGATGGAAACTTAATTGAAAAAACAACTTTTTTAGCTTATAGTTAGCCGCTCGCGGAGATGATGCTTGAATAAAATAACGAATGATAGCAATTAACACCGATTAGTCCGTCGCGACATTGTTGCGAGCCTCGTTGATGGCCGAGTATCAATCACCTGGGAGGATCATGACTGGAGAACTGGAGATACGGAACTTGTTCGAGTTCGTTGCACGAAACCGCCACGCTTGATGGCATTCGAATTCGCTCATGGCGAATAATAGCGATACGTGCGAATAATCGAAGGCAAGTATCGACATGTGATCGGTCGTGCGTACGTTCCATACACGGTGAACGGAAGTCTTCCAGGCGTGCGTACCAGCCTCGTATGTGTGCCCCTGTGTGTAGCCTGTGGGTCAGCGAACTCGCTGTCAAGAGTCTGGATGGAATTCTATTGTGGTGCCTCCAGCTCGAGCGATCGTTTCGAAAACACTCGATAATGCGGCAAATTCGTCTTGTCCTTATCGGAAGTAAAGTGGGCTATCTTCCTGATTCCTTTGGTAATTAAAATTCTATGTACGGATCACGAAGAACGCCGTATGAATACGTTGACAGCGACGTAACGAATGTACGAGATATTAGTAGAGATGTCAAGACATCGCAGACCGTTCGATACAAATATGTAATACCGATTCGATGACACGAGCAGGTTTGCGTTCCAGAGCTGCGATCTTTCGATTGTACGAAGATTAATGAGGCAAGAAACGACGTAGTAAAAAGTAGAAAGCTCCTCCGGTGTCGATCACACGGTTTTCTTGCGAACATGTCACGCAGATACATAGCATTACGCGGCACGGACAATCTGCATTCATTACAACGATGGACGATGTGTCATTCTTTGTCAGACATCGTTGATCCACACATGTATACACAACTACGTGCTGTATTCCCAGCGTACCTTGGTTCATCGGTAAACGCGTTTGTAAACCGATCACGAGTCGCTTGAAAAAAAAAAAGAGAGAGAGAGAAATTACCATTAGAAAAGAGATTCCTAACCGTGGACATAATTAATTTAGTCGCTTAGAATACAAGGAATTAGAAAATATCGTTCTATCTTTCTGTCGTTCAGCTACCAGTGATACAGATGCCCGACTGGACACGAGAGACGGTCGTGGAATCCTGTGGAATGGAGTCTCCGACAGCGAGTCCTGTCTAACGTCGAAAGGAGAGATTGGTCGTTGCACCAGCTTCAAGGAGTGCTATCCCTATTTCAAAATTCCCGATCTGAGCGCTCTAGATGGCTGGGTTCTCGGCGTTTACGACACCTGCAGCTATACCCGAGAAAATGGTCAGACGAATTTCGGAATTTGTTGCTCCAACATACTTCCGGTCGTTACCCCACCGTCGGATAACACTGAGGACCCTACCATAGATAATACTCAGGTAAACAAATCGATTGACGGTAATTGAATACGTCGATTCACCAAAAGGTATAACGTACTAAACATTTTGCCGAGAGTTTTCCTTCGAGTTCCCTTCCAGCAATTTCTCGGATTGAATTATAGATCCTAGTTAGTTACCAAGAACTCGTAAAAATAATACGTGATACGAATCGAAAACGTTATATCCAACGTAGAAAGTCGCACTTCGGGTCTATCTATCGAACAACGCGGTTTCGCAAACAAACTTTTACGACTTCGCTTTATTGCCGTGTCCAATCCGCACCTGACCGTTCCTCACCGTGAAATCTTCATCCACGA